GTAGTTACAGTGCCTTCTTAAACCCTAAACCCTATATAGTAGTTTCCATTTATTTTCCATTATCCCAATATAACCCCTATATAACCCTAATATAACCCTAAACTCCTAAAACCAAATTTTCTATGCAGCATAGACTGCCTGATCCCCTACAGGTAGGTAGTACAGAGTTTGGGGCTGTAGGTTAGCCAGCGCGCTCGGGAAGCAAGTCGCGGGTCGGCACCAAAGGCACCGAAGCACGGCACAGCTTTCAATTTAGAGTCCTCCAAAAGTAGATAGAGTATGGGGTATATGGGGATCTTATCATAATATACCCAAAGCCATTTTCTATCTACTTAAGGGGAGCTATAGAGCCAAAAAAGTCATTCTTGCCTCTGAAGTGGTCAGCAGTGATACCAACACTGTTGTGCTGTTGATTCAGCCCTGCAGCCCATGTGTTCGTCCACATTTGCTTTTTGGCCACTCTAGCCAGGTCACCCCAAGGAGCACAGAGAAAGCTGGCAGAGGCGAGCGGGCCTTGCACTACAAACCCTGGTGTCGAATGGCATGGCCCTCACAGAATGTTCATCCGAGTGCACATGTTGACAACAGTAAGGGGATGTGACAAGGTCTGCAAGCATGTTTGCGTGTCTTGCATACCATAATATACCATAGTATACCACAATATACTATAGTATACTATAATATGATATAATACACGAGAACATGCTATAACATACTATATTATACTATGATATGACCACGCTTGCCAGGCACGCGGCAGAAGGCAGCAGACAGCCAGGTGGACACTGCGCAAGGAGCACCTGGTCTTATCAGTGCAGTGGTATTGATAGTAGTTTCCCAAAATAAGGAAACCCCAATATAGACCCCCTTTTACTACAGTCCCCATTATAAGGACCCCCAAAAAGGTAGCCCTAGTTTTGGGATAGAGGAACACAGGATTACAAGGCACTGGGGTAATCTTGGGATAATATTGGGGCTATGTTAGGGTTATATTGGAGTTATAGTAGGCTTATATTGGGGGCTCAAGGAGATTAAGGCAAGGCTCTTGCAAGATCCACACATCTGGCATGCTTAGCTGCACAACTAGAACCAGGTGTCTTTAAGACGGCCCGGGCAATCTGCTTGCAAATGGGGGTTTCCCAAAATTAGGGGAACCTTTTTGGGGGTCCCTATAATAAGGACTATAGTATTTTGGGGTCTATGTTGGGGTCCCCCTATTTAGGGAAAGTACCAAATCCCGTACTATTTTCGCTAGTGTAATCATTATCCTTGCTTATCAAGGCTACATAGCATCACTCAGAACAAAACAATCTTAGGGGCTCCTGTCCCCTCTATCCTTCGACGTCTGCAGCCAAGGCACCAGAGACTGGCGCCGAAACGGCAGACCTTCAGGATATTGAAAAAGAGGGGCCCAGCCTCACAAAGTGTTGCGGTTCAGGGGTTCAGGGGTTCGGGGTTTAGGGTTTAGGGTGAGGTTGAGGGTTCCGTAGGCTTGAAAGATGGAGGGCTACCTCAAATTTTGGAACTTGACTAGTTCTCTGTGCAAAGACCACCGAGATGAAAGACCCTCGTTCTTGGACATGTGCACTGAGCTCCAGAAGCGATGAACTTGTTCTTCGGTTGCCATGCACTGGATAGACCACATGGCGGACATGTACAAAGGTGGGGTCTGTATGGGGGTCCCCTGTTTATGCAGAACTGAGGGCTTCCTATAGTCATGCTACGTAAGTTCTTCTAATGTAGAGTCCCCGGAAGAAGTCCCAACCGTTTCCCGTCTGGGCAGGATCCGCAGGCTGCGCCCATTGGGGCATGCCATGCAAAAAGTCGCTGGGGTGCCCTGGCTTCAATTGCACCTCCCTAAGCAGTAAGATTATGATATACATCATGGGTCAACAGTGTTCGGCGCCAGAACTGGATGTATATTCCCATTACTGCAGACTTCGCAAGATGTAACGGAGGGTACTGAGAAACGCGAGACGTTACGACAGGGATTGCAGGAGCTACCAGTATCACATGGTAGTTAAAATCGGGGGCCGTAAAACAGACCCCCAATATATTTGCTATAGTCCTTATTCTTGCGACCCCCAACCAGGGACCCCTAAATTGGGGAAACCCTGACCACTATAAATCACGGTGTAAACCCAGTCCTCATCTCATTTCATGCATTTGATTCTCCGTTTCTAGGGGGATACTAACCCTACATAAACCTCCATAACCCCTGTATACAACCCGTTTAAAGACCTGTACAGGATATGTCTTCATGTCTTCAATTCCTGATTCCTGCTGAGGAGCTGGCCAAAACCCCTCCACGGGCCCAGAGACTGACCCTGAACGAGCTGAGCCGGGCTTTCCTGTGCTGGCAGTTCTGCTGCAATGAGTATATTGGGGTGCTATTGGGGATTATATAGGGTACTATAGGGCTATATAGAGAAAATGGAGAAGAAGATGGAAGCACCAATATACTATTGGGGGAAAACCTCCAGTCGAGCTAGTTTCAGGGCCGCTGGCTGTAGCACTTGATTGTGAGACCTATTTATGACTTGGGATTGGGGAAGAAAGTTGAGCCAAGGACACAAGCGATGCTTGTCTGCAATTGCCAGCTTCTGCAGAAGATGAGACCTTTCTGAGCGACAGCCCTCTTCACAGGACGCGCGGCTTAAGCAGTCTTCAGCTGCCTTTCAGATGCATCACTTTTGCTGCGTAACCGCAACTCAGTCATCCTGAACCTTATGCCCTCGATCTGAAGCCCACTAATCCAGAATCTCTCTAAGGACGTTAGGAGGGACCCC